ACTTTGGCCGCTGTAACAAAAAGACCCCAAATACAATGGTTTAAACACATAGAGGATTATATTCTTCTTATGTAAAAGTCCGTGTCGTCAACCCAAGAGGAGAAGATGCAAAGGAAAGCAAATCCCTTGCCTGTAAACACCTAACCAGGAAGCTTCAGATATCACTTCCAGGCACATTCTACTAGCCGAACAGTCATATGGCCACTTCCAGCCACAAGGAGTGCTGGGAAATGTAGTCTTTACACCCATCTAAAATTTCTATTAGCAATAAGACAGGACAATGGTAGTCCTGGCCACGGAGAGGCAAGTCACTGTGTACAGTGGGAAAAGGACTAAACTCAGAGATGGGTATAGAGGGGTTTTTATCACCTGCAAAATATAATAAAAATCATAACTACCTTGACTCAGTTTTTTCAACTCTAAACAATAACAACAATGGTAATTAGCATTTACTGAGCATGCACCATGCTCTAGGGGCTATACCATATACTTTACACATACGATTTAATTCAATTTTCCCAACAACCCTCTAAGGCTGGCATTATTATTGTCCCTTTCATTTTAGAGATTAGGAAACCAAGCCTCAGAGGAGTTAAGTAGCTTGCCCCATGTTCACAGTGAACGTGTGAGTCACAAAACCAGACCTGGGCTCGCTGACTCCAAAGCCCAAGCACGGCCCCTTGGCTACACCTTAAGTGGAGATCATCACAGTATCAGCATTGCAGGATTGTTGGGAGCATGAAAGGGGATGTGACGGATGGAGCACACAGTAGGCCCTCTCTACCTTCCTCAAGGAAGGCAGTGTGTCTTGCTGGGGCTTTAGGCTCCCTTGTCTGAGTTGAGTAAAGAACCTGGCTCCAGAATGGGGACTGTCCAGAAACAGTTCACAGTCGCTGGAGACAGGCTGGAGCCGAGAGGAGGAGGAATCAGGTTTGAGAGAGAGGAGGAAAAAAGCAATAAACTGAAAAATCACAGCTCTGCAGGCAATGGAATCTATTACTCAGAGATTAAAATGTCACAAGGAGTACACGTCAGCTCCAGACTTTGGAAAATGTTTTTTTCCATCATAATTACTGCTCGCCACTAACACAGAAGACTATTTCCTTTCCTAGGGAGGAGCTTGCCCCACTTGGTGTCTTCCTAGCGTTCTACAGACCTCAAAAGTTGCTTCTTACATTTGTTCAGAGTATTAACAATGGCCAACACCAGTAAGCACTTACCACGTACTAGCTACTTAGAGCTTATTAATCCTCCAATAACCCTGTGAGATGGACACTATTCATTTCATCCTGTCTTACAGATGAAGAAACTGAGGCACAAAGGTATTAGGTAACATGCCCAACCTCACACAGCTGGTGATGAGAGAATCAGGATTTGAACCCAGCTCATCCGTTCAGGAGTGTGATCTCAATCACTCCTCGAAATTTCCCTCTCACAGCCCAATTCTGTTCATGGGAAAGTGGGAAGCAATACAAGTCCTCCCAGAAAGAACCTGGCAAGTCTTCCATTTTTTATTTCCACATTGAAGTACACTGTGAACCAAAAATCTGAGGCATGGAGGGAGTCCACGTCTAATGTCAAATCCAACCTCAGCTGGGGTTAGTAAACTACATTAAGATTCATACCCAGTGGGATCTTACTAGCTAACCTTTAAAAATGATTTTGTAGAAGAATATTATTAAGTAGGTGAGATCATAAACAGCATGTATAGTGTAATTTCCATTAAAAAAATAAGTTTCTAAACACACACACACATAACTGGAAACTCACACATCAAATCATCATGAGTCCTTCTACCTGAATAGCAAGATTATGGACAGATTCGTTCATCTGATGGCTCTCCTTCCCCCCATTTCCATCCAGATCCCTATATTTTAAAATATTTTTAAAAATCAAGTTTACTAGCCTTTATGTGACTGATTTATTTATTTTTTACTAGAAGAAATACCTTAAAGCTGATTTTAGCCTACCTGTGTCAGTGAATCTTTTAAGAAATGTTTCCTTTTTAGGTTGGGAAAAAAGGGAAAATTTAAAATAAAAATTCAGTATCAGAGCATTCATTTCTCAGATTTCTAAACAACAAATTAACACCTTATCGTTTATTCTGTGAAGTCATATTTTTATTCATTTAAAGGAAGACAAAAGTTGAAGAGGACAAGGAAGTATAACAAGAAAACTATGAGAAAGGAAAGGATGACCAAGAGACATCAAATACGGAAGGCATGCTGTCACCGGCCAGCATTCAAGAGCCTCCCAAATCTTGCCGGCATCTCCACTCACCAGGAAAACTCACAAAGGTGACTCAAGTTCAGGAACCATCACAGGCTAGTACCTGAAATCACCTGAAAAAAAGCTGAGCATGGGCTACCTCCTAAACAAACAAGGTACTGCTTCTTTCTCTTCTATTTTTTTGAACCAAAATTACACTAATAGAAAAGTTGGAGGACAGCACAAAGAATTATTTTTTTTCTAAGCCATTTGGTAGTTAAGTTGCCTAACTGATGGCCCATCACTCCTGAATACTTTCATGTGCAATCGCAACACTCAAGGACATCATCCTGTATAGCCACAGTCCAAGCATCAAAATCAGGAAATGCACACTGATACACCACCACGGTCTAGTCCTCAGACCTCATCTGAGTTCTGCCAATCGTCCCGATCACGTCCTTTACAGCAAAACGACTCAGTCCAGAACCGAGCGACAGTCGTTGTCTGTCTCTTTTCAGACTACTCCTTTAGTCTGGAATAGTTTCCAAGTCTTGCCTTTTGCAACCCGACACTTTTGAAGATTTCAAGGCCAGTTATGTTGTAGAATGTCCCTCAGTTTGGGTTTGTCTCTGTGCTGTGACTTTGTTAAATTAACAATTGTTAGGTTGGAGCACAGGGTGCTGAGACACGGTTCAACAACAGATCATAGGAGAAATTGACACAGAGAGACTTATGACTCACAGGTCCCGGAGGAAGGACATGGCACCCCTTCAGGGGCCACCCGGGGCCACCCGGGGAGGCGGAGTGCAGACAGAGGCAAGGACCTGGGCAAGTGCCTTTCTTAGGGTCCAAGCGTGGAGTGCCCGGGGGTTCCCTGGGCAGGGCCACATTGGTCAGTTCAAACCAAAAGAGCAGGCAGACACTGAGGGCCTAACCCCTCAGGTTGTAGGTCTGGCAGGGAACCCAGAGAAAGGGTCAGCGAATCTGAGGTGGCTGTGAGGAGAGGCTGATCGCATTTTTGTTGCTGTGGAAGAATTAGCAAAGCGCTCTGACCACCACTGAGGACGTTTTCTTTCTGTGTGTGATAAACAGCAGGGCCAGGAGATGTGGGGAAACAGGAGGAGGTAAAAGGCATTAAAAGAAAAAAAATCGCAGGGAATTTAGCCTCACATTTGGAAATCATGTTCTCCTCCATCGTCGTAATTGAAAAGGCAGGGATCACATGCACACGTTATGGATCCAGTGCTCAGAGGCAGGTGAGGCCAGGATAGTTTTCATCTGGATCTGCAGGCCAGTGTTCCGACAGAGCAGCAGAGGCCAACAGGCCTTCCTCATCCCATCCCCAGTGCCACCTCTCCTCTCCCCACTCCCTCCTTCTCCTCAACCTTCCTTTTCTCATCCTCCCAAAAGCAGCTAGCCAAGATTTCAGTGAGACCGAACTTCACGAAGAATGGGAGCCCCCCCAAGTTTTTGTTTTTAATTAAATTTTTATTGTGTAAAATATACATGTCATGAAATGGACCATTTTAATCATTTTTAAGTGTACAGTTTAGTGGCATTAAGTACATTGACATTGTTGTGGAACAATCACCACCATCCATCTACATAACGTTTTTCATCTTGCAAAACTGAGACTCTGTCCCCATTAAACAATAACTCCCCATTCTTCTCTCCCCCAGACCGTGGCAGCCACCATTTTATTTTCTGTTTCTGTGAGTTTAGTTACTCTAGGTACCTCATCTGAGTGGAATCATACAGTAGCTGTCCTTTTGTCACTGGTTTTTTCCAGTTAGCATAATGTCTTCAAGGTTCATCTGTGCTGCAGCCTATGTCAGAATATCCTTTTTAAAGGATGAATATTCCATAAGATTTTAAAAGTTATGTAACTACAGAAGTCTGCTAGGGCTGCAAAATATAGCAGGCTGGGTGGCTTAGACAATGGATATTAATTTTCTCACAGTTCTGGAGGCTGGAAGTCCAGCACTAAGGTGTCAGCAGGTTTGGTTTCCTCTGAGGCCTCTCTCCTTGCTGGCAGGTGGCTGCCTTCTTGCTGTGTCCTCACATGGCCTTTCCTCTGTGTGCTTGCATCCCTGGTATTCAAATTTCCCCTTCTTATAAGGACACCAGTCAGACTGGATTAGGGCCCATCCCAATAGCCTCATTTTAACTTAATCACCTCTCTAAAGGCCCTATCTCCAAATACAGTCACATTCTGAGGAACTGGGGGTTAGGGCTTCAACATATGAATTTGAGGGAGAAACACTTCAGCCCATAACAGTAACCTTCCTTCCTGAGAAACGAATTCCTCAACTGTATGAAAATCACGGTGGCCACCCCATAGGTTGGTGGTTCAGAAGATGCCCATGAAGAGCTTGGCACAGCACTGGAGCATGGCCACCTTTCTACGAGATCAGCTAGCATCACTGTTTCGTCTTCCCAAATCCTAGTATGTGTCTTTCCAGCATATGTTGAGTGCACAGTTAACAACGTGTGTTACTTCTTTCATCTTGGATTGGGTGTGGGCTTGGACAGCAAGAGGAAGGAGACCCAAGAACACATCATTGCAGGACAGGGAAAAGATGGGGAGGCTAACACAGACTTCAACTGCTAAGTTCTCCTGTCCCAGCCAACCTGAAATTTTACAGCTGCCTTATTTATTTTTCTTTTTTGCAGTACGCAGGCCTCTCACTGTCGTGGCCTTTCCCGTTGCGGAGCACGGGCTCCGGACGCGCAGGCTCAGCAGCCACGGCTCACGGGCCCAGCTGCTCTGCGGCATGTGGGATCTTCCCGGACTGGGGCACGAACCCATGTCCCCTGCATCGGCAGGCGGACTCTCAACCACTGCACCACCAGGGAAGCCCCTGCCTTATTTTAATGATGGGTGAGCATAACGGTTATAACTGTGTGCCAGGCACTGAACTAGGCACGCTATAGAAGCTGTCTCATTTAATCCTCAAGTTGGTACTATTACTATCCCAGTGCTCAGATGAGAAAGCCGAGGCCCAGAGAGTTTAAGTAACTTGCCATGTCATAGCAAGGCCAAGCACTGGAGTCAGCATTCAGACCCAGAAATTCTGCATGGTGAGCCCAAGGGGGTCCAATGACCATTACATTAAAATTAAATATGAATATGAATAAAATGATAAAAGTACTTATATAATAAGGGGGTATGGTTAGAGGATAGGATATGGCTATTTTCCTTCATTTAAAATTTTCCACTTCTTCAATAGTGTCTGTGGAATTCATTATTTTTAATTTAAATTATTCTAACGCAAGACTTTGCATGCTGGGGCACGTCTCTCTGAAGGATTAAAAAAAAAAAAGTGCATATACCATCTATCAGGTGTTGCTGCCTAAAGAACTGGCCTGTTTGTCCTCACCTGGGATTTAAGAGCAAGCATCCACCTGCCCCCTTACAGCCCCATTTGTCTCCATCAATAATAGATTTTCAAAACACTGCTTTTAAAATTTTTTTCTTCTCTTTCTTTTTTTTCCTTCCTCTCTTTGTTTTTAAAGAAATACATATGTGTGAGCTCATATCAACTTATCCTTGGAATATGTGTGTTGCAAGCTCTGGGCCCCTCAAGTTTCAATGTGATGGATGTCTTGGATTTGAAGAGTTCTGGGAAGAATCACAGAGGGTTGGGTTGTTTTGTTTGTTTTCCTAAACTGTAGACTATTTTATTCTCAAAGCAGTAAGAAAACCCTAACCTCACCACACCCACCCCTCCAAGCCAATTTCTAGGTTGTTCCTCTAAGAAATGCATGAAGTCCCACGTATTCCCTGGTGGTCCAGTGGTTAAGACTCCACGCTTTCACTGCTGAGGGTGCGGGTTCGATTCCTGGTCAGGGAATTAAGGTCCCGCATGCCATGTGGCATGCCCCCCCCCAAAAAAAACAGAAAAAAAATTGGTGAAGTCCCTATAAACGACAGTAAGAAAATCCCTTCCTCTGCAAATTGTCTAACTTTCTGGATTCCATTGGAAGAACCATCTTTTTAATTTCTGACGTCTTTGCCCTGAACCTTGGACAGATTTTGATCTTGTATGATTGAATTTGCATGGGATATATAACATTAGAAGTAATTAAGTCTCCTCAATGCTCTCTCAACATGACCCAATCTTACTTTTTCAGCTCCATGGAGATCTCAATGACATCTCCAGCTCACTCACCATGTCTACACCATAAAACCTACTGGTTTCACAGCTAGTTACACAGCTCCTGAGAGGGTGGACTTTGACACACCTTGTCAGGTGACTGCTATGCTGGCCACAGCTGCCACTCCAAGCCAAAGATGTCCAATATGGGCCAGACCTAAGGAAACTGTGAGATGGTCTGAGCTGAGAATGCATCCTAGTTGGGAAGCCCCACACTAAATGGTAAATATGCAGTCTGATCATCTTGAATGCTGGACGCAAAGAATATAACCACAGCACAGAGGCAGGAAGAAGAAAACTAGAGACAGAACCAGAAGCAGAGAGAGTCCTGAGCAGGGAAGACTCAGTAAGTAAAGAACAATGGTTTCTCCTCTTAAGAGAAGACTAGACTATAGTAACTGGAATTGCTGTGGTCTCCCGCATAGTTTTCCAGTTGTCCATTAGGTCTGAGCGTGTCGCTGCTGAGATGGTTTTCTCTGCTAAGTCACTGCACACGTGTATTTCTATCAACATCTCCCATCTCTTGTGGTGTTCTTAAGTGTATCATTTTTTTGTTTTGGGGTTTTTGTTTTTTGGTAATTGGAAAAAGCCCAACACCTTATCTAAAAATGAATTCATAATCCTCTTTCCCAAACCTACTCTTTCTTATTCATTGCCTATGTCTACTTTTGGTATCACCATCCCAGTTTTTTGATTTCTCCCAATACCTTACCAGTCTGTCAATGCATTTGCCAGGTCCTCTCAATTCTATCTCCACAATACAGCTCCAAGATATCAGGGTTGGGTAAATATTCCTCTCAAATAGCACTAGCCCCCAACCCTGCACTCTTGGCAGACATCACTTATTGATCACTGCACTCTTTCCACTTACCTAAGCAAGGCTAAAAGCCATAATAGATCTACTCCTTGAATGTTTATTTTATATATAAGGTATCATGCTAAGCATTTTGCATGCCTTATCTTATTTCTCACAGAAACCCTGTGAAAATACTCTATTGGTTTTTTCATCGTATAGGTGAGAAAACTGAGGCTCAGAGAGTGAGGAGAAATACCCTGGTTCCTCCCCCTTCCTTCAGTCGTCTGGTCTTTCTCTGTGGCCACCCACGGAAGGGACTCAGCTGGAATCAGTTGGCAGGGGAGCTAGGGAAATAAAGTTTGCAGGAGTTAGCTCCTTGTGGTGCAGAGCAAAGCAGAAAAAGAACAGGGATTGGATCTGAGACCAAAAGAATGCCTGGTGAGAAGCTTCTTCTGATTTCACAGTCACAAGGAACGTGTCCTGACTCTGAAAGATGATAGCACTTGATCCAGAAATTTCCTTCTGCACTGAACACTATTTATCATAGTTGCTTGTGTATATAATATATTATTTGCAAGCCTTTTCTCTTTGGTCGATAGCCTGTAAAATTCTCTTGGGTAAGATACAAGTGCAAATTATTATCACTCCTGTCGTAATGGTTAGCCCCACGCCTTGCTCAATAAATATTATTTAATGAGGAATGATGGATTTTCAATGCCTGTGCTTCTTTAGACTAAGGAGTATAGCAACATGTCAGGAGGGTATGCCAACTACAAGACAAACACCTTACATTTCCCTGGAGAGTCAATTTCACAGTGTAGTAAGTAACTTTAGACACAATTTTTATATGAAAACAAAAAATGAAATCAAACAAAATGTACATGGTTTTCTTTAAGATAAATTACTTCAAAAAATACTAGGCTCTCTATGTATTCATTTTTTAATTCTTTTGTTTTTCAACAAGTATTGACTGAGCATTTTCTATATGCCTGGCACTGTTCTAGACATACCTGATTCCTGCCTTCAGGGATCTTACAGTCTAGTGCAGAATTCTATAAAGAACCGACAGCAAATGTTTTAAGCTTCCTGGGCCAAACATTCCTTGTTGCATTACTCAGCTCTTCCTTGTAATATGAAAGCAGCCACAGACAACACCGAAATAAATGAGTTTTTATGTTCCAATAAAACTTCATTACAAAAACAAGCAGCAGGCAGGATTCAGCCAATGGGTCATAGTTTGCTGATCCTGTCTAGCAGGGAAAACAGACATTAAATAATTTAGGATGACACACTGTTAGAGAATAATATAAGATGCTCTATGGGCAAAACTAGGGTAAGACACTTAGCCCAGGAGCAGGACCAACTTTGTGGGTGTGCAAGCAGGGCCACTCAGAAGGGACAGCATGCTTGGTTTAATGCTCTGTTGTCAGTGTCTTGAAATTCTTAATTATGTTATGTTTGAACTTGTGAAGTCAGAAAGGACAATGGAGCACGTGTGTGAGCAGAGTTGCTGTGCCAGGCGTTAGTGCACACACGTTGGGGCTGGAGCACATAGACATGGCAGCGGGCAGCACCAAGCACCCGGCCTGGCCTTCTGGTGAGCATGTGCACACCTGGGGCTGTCCAGAGCCCCTCAGAGCAACGAGGGCAGCCCTGCCTGGGACCTGGGCCCAGATTGGTTGATGGCGGCAGCAGCAATAGCAGATGCAGTGGTGGCGGCAGCAGTGGCAGCCGTGGGAGAGTGGAGCGGTTCCGGGGCAGTGCTGGGACGCATGGTGGGAGATTGGCTAACCCATTTCTCCCCAGAGCCTGTCCCTGTGGCATCTGCACAAATATTAACTCTCTAATATGAGCACCAGGACACTCAGGCGGTAAAGCTTGTCAGTAAATTATTACCAATTAAGGGTGTACACACTGACATTGCAATAAAGCGTATCAGCGACTTATTAAAATTCTTCAAAGAATTTAGATTTCTGGTTTTGAAAACTGTTACAGCATTGCAAACCAAACATACATGGGCTTAGAAATAGAAATTAAATGTAAAGATTGTTCCATTCGATAGAATAGAACACTGTCTTCACACAAAGTTTCAGATAAACAATTAACAAGGAAAACAATATGTAAATGAATTTTCTTATATTTGAAGATACAGTGATAGAATGCATATCAGGCATTTTGAATTATATAAAAATCATGAAGCCACTTTGGTTTCTTATAGATTTTCACAAGTTGCAGGAACTGTCAGAAAATACTAACTAACATTAAATTTGTGTATAAAAATCATCTAATTAACTCATTAGGTAATATAAATGCTATATGTAAATAGCAATTATTTATAAATAATATAAATTTGTGTATTAAATTCAGAATTACATGAAACTGATTTGTATAAAGAGTTAACTCTGTAGAAAATAGTTCCACAGGAATCATCACCTCTAGATGTACTGGAACTTGTATTTCAAAATAATTTACCAGATGTGTATCCCAATGTTGTCATAGCCTATAAAACTCTCTTATCTGCTCTGGTAAAAACTGCATTAGTAGATTTTAATTGTCAAAATTAAAGTTATCAAAAAATATTTGTAATTTTACATTTGCCAACAGCAAATGACGTTGCTTTCAATTATATAAATTGAAAATTAAGTTATTAAAAGTACACATTTTTATGACCTAATGAATGAATATGTAGGAAAGCAAACCAGAAGAATCTCGGTATCATATTAATCAGTATTATTCATTGTATTATATAAAATTATGACATCAAAAATATGTTTTACCATTAAAAAACCATTTGTGGGCTTCCCTGGTGGCACAGTGGTTGAGAGGCTGCCTGCTAATGCAGGGGACACAGGTTCGAGCCCTGGTCTGGGAGAATCCCACATGCCGCAGAGCAACTAGGCCCGTGAGCCACAACTACTGAGCCTGCGCGTCTGGAGCCTGTGCTCCGCAACAAGAGAGGCCACGATAGTGAGAGGCCCGCGCACCGCTACAAAGAGTGGCCCCTGCTTGCCACAACTAGAGAAAGCCCTCGCACAGAAACGAAGACCCAACACAGCAAAAATAACTAAAAAAATTAATTTATAAACTCCTACCACCAACATCTAAAAAAAAAAAATTTGTATTGTTACTCATGTATCACTACACTTATCACATTTTATAAATAAAATTATTATAAATAATATAATATTTTAAAAGGAAAAGCTTTATATTTTACCTGTAACTGAACCTTTTTTCCCTGCTTTTCGAACAAGGGGTCTGTATTTTCATGTTGCCTTGGACCTCACAAATACGCAGTTGGTGCTGTCCGGGAATCCAGGCAAGCTTTCCTGAGGAAATAAGTAGAAAAGCCCAAAAGCAAGAGAGAGCTTGTCACACTAGGGCTGTGCTTCTCAAAGGCTGGTCCCTGTACCAGCAGCATGGGCATCACCTGGGATCCTGTGAGAATGGCAGATTCTCAGGCCCCACTATGGAAAATCTGATTTTACACTCCCCCCAGGTGGTCCTGATGCCCCTCAAGTCTGAGAGGCACTGCTACAGGGGGACTGAGAGAAGAACAGTGGGTGTGTTGGGAGGTGGGGGAGGAGCCAGGACCAGGTTCTTAGGACAAGGAGGAGAAAATGGAGGTTATTAAGCAGGAGTAAAAGCACAAGGTCCTCAAGGGTCAGTACATCCCACCCCCATCCTGATCTCGTCTTCTACTGCTCTCCGTCAGCCTCAGCCACACCGCCATCCTCTGACACGTCAGGCAGTCCCCTGCCTCAGGGCCTTTGCGCCAGTTGCTTCCTCTTCTTAGAATGCTTTCACCCCAGAGCCCTCTTGCATTCTTTGGATGTCTGCTCAAATGTTACCTTCTCAGGAAGGTCTTCCCTAGCCCTCCTATTTAAAATCATCCCCTCAGTGCGCACATACACACACTCACACTTTGATCCCCTCTTCCCTGTTTTATCTTTCTCCCTTGTACATACCAACATGTAATATATTATACCACTTCCTTATTTTTCGGGTTAGGTGTCTATCCTCTCCCATTCCCCACGGGAATGCTAGTTCTACAAAAGTAGTGGCTTTATTCTGTTTCATTTACTGATATATTCCTGGGGGCCTAAAAATACTGGTAGAGAGGGAACACTCAATAAATATTTATTGAATGAACAAATGAAGAGGTTTCAATTCAAGTAAATACATGACTATAATTAATAAGAAAGGGGTTCTCACAACCTGGTTAATAAAGTTGCTAGCAGTTGTTCTTAACTTGAGGCTATGAGCTGGGTTTATTCATGGAGGTATAGACCATCACAGCTCTGGGAAGCAAAATCCATGTGCTCCCCTCACCTCCTCGCTTGCAGGGGTTGAGGCCACGTTACTATCCTGCCCAAAGGACTGTGAGTAGAAGAGGCACGACCAGACCATGGATGTTAATGGGAGTATCTCCTCCACTTCTTCCGTCTCATTTGGCTGTGACCATGCATGTTTGTGTGAAGCCACAAGGTCAAGGCAGAGAGGAAAGTTCCTTAGGCTTTCTGTGAGGGAGAAATAAACCTTTGTTGTGATAACAGCATTGAGATTTCAGGGTTTATTTGTTACTGCACTGTAGCCTAGCCTAACCTGACGACTAGAGTCATTATCAACAAGCAGAGATAGAGAGCAAATTCAGAAAAGTTGAATCTTCTGAGCAATTCTACTATGAAGGATATGTATTTGGTAGCTTTAAGGAAGATCTTGGACCTTGTCCACAGGTGTAAGTATACAAAAATGCCACCTGACAACGTCCCAGTTCTAAAAGGCAGAAACTATGAAATGAACACATAAAAGTGTACAGAGGCAGAATCTATAAGTATGGACTATGGATCAATCTGTCTGGGTTTGAATCTCAGCTGTCCCACTTACTGACCTTGACCAAGCTAATTAGCCCTCTGGGCCTCAGTTTCCTCACATGTAAAGAAGGATAATAATATTTACTTCGAGAACTGTTAGAGGACTGGATGAAGTAAGGGAAGTAAAGTACTGGGTTCTCAGTGCTTGACACAAACTCGTTAAATTTTCACAGCAACTCCATGGGCTAGATACTATTTTGACCCCCGTTTTATAGATGATGAAGCAGTTGCGCAGAGAGATTAAATAACTTACCCAAGGTCATGCAGCTAGTAAGTAACGGAGCTGGGATTTGACCTCTGCAGTCTGACGGCAGGGACGGGGGTGAATCCCGAGCTGGGAGTTAGGCGGACTGGAGGCAAATCTCAGCCCGAACACTCACTGATCAGTTGACTTTGAAACAGCAACTTGACTTTTTGCGGTCGTGATTTCTCTCTCTCTTAAATTAGGGAAATAGTAATATGAAAAATAAGAGTATCCCTACAACATCAGGCAGTTGTTGAAGGCCAGCTGGGATAGTGTTTATAAAGCACCTCCCACATGCCTGGCCCAGAGGAGATGCTTGCTGAGTGTTAGCTACTGTTGTAATGACAACATCCCGTGTGGCCACAGTCTGAGCAGCTGTCTGGAATAGAGTCACAACATGGTGGGCCACTGGTCAGTCTCTTCTGCTCCTCACTGGAGTTTATGGGGAGACCTATTCCCTTGCTCTGGTATCACACATCTAATAGCGCAGCCCAGGTAACCGAGGGCAGCCCCATTTCCATTCCCCAGGATACATGTGGGATGGCGGGCTCCAAAGCAGGGTTCCCTCCATCCCACCACCACCACCATGACAGCTTTTCCCTATGAGGCCTGCCTCCATCCCCCTAGAAGCCTATTAAGGCTTCTCTCTTTGGGTCAGGCCAACCTGGCCTCCTATCTGCAGGTCAGAGAACAAGGGGATTAACAACTCAGGAAATCTCTGCGTCTGCATGCACGCCCTGCTCATCACCACTTTCACCCCGAGGCAAAAGAAGCTACTGATTTTCCAAATCATCGTCAACAACAAAAAAGTTCCATAGAATCATGACAACCAGCTCCGTTATATTGTTCAGATGCCAATTCTTTGAAAATCCACAATCCTCTGATGACAGCAATGTGGGTGCGGGTGAGTAGGGTGAGTGGATGGGGGGATAGGTCTTAGGGTTGGATATAGTCTTAGGTTTGGTTTCAACCTGCCTCCAGGGTAATATTGGCCTAGATGCTGCCATCATAGCTTGAGGACTCATTAGTCCCTAGTGGTCACTGTGGGTTTTACCAGATAGAACAATGAGCAGCAAAAGATACAGGAACAGTGTTTAGCTAAGGGAACAGCATTTCCCAGGGAAACAGCATCCTGTGAACTGTCTCAGCATTTTAGGTCTTTCTGAGATGTTCCTGTTTTCATCCTTCCTCAGTACTTCCTGTTTCTCTTTCACTTAGTTTCTTTCTCCTTCACTATGCCTATCTCCCTTTCTTCTTGATCTTCCTCTCCCCTTCCTTGCTGCCCTCCTCCTTCCCTGTGAGGTATAGACCATCACAGCTCTGGAAAGCAAAATCCATGTGCTGTTCCCTGTTACTAACAACTAGGACGATTTATCCCCCCAAACAGAAGTGACCAGATTTAACAAATAAAAACACAGCGCCCGGGTAAATTGGACTTGTAGATAAACTTACACCAAAAAGATTATCTGTTGTTTTTCTGAACTTTAAATTCACTTGGGCATCTGATAGTGTGTTTGGCAGCCCTACCACCAACTAATTGTAGCTCAGTGTGGGTCTCGAATAATGTTTGTCCTGTGAATCAGTGGCTTTTAGAAATGAAATAGATGTCCCATACTTGCTCCGTGGTAAACTTCATAACGCTATTATTGTTTTTAAAATGTGAGGAACCAATATTCCCTGAACCCTCCACATAGCGGTTTTTGATTTCTTGCTTTTTTTATAATGCCTACATCTTTAAGGAGCTTTTCTTTGAAGGCAGCTGGCCTTCTTAGGGCATCCCCAAGCCTGGCAACCCCCGGGCAACCCCCCAGAGGCTGGAGAAGGCCGTAGCTCAGAGAGCAAAGAGTTCCAAGTGGTCAGATTACAACAGGAATGTCAGGCCTCTGTGAGGGGGAAGGTTACTTCTGCAGGGGCTGAGGGGAAGGGTGGATTATAATATTTTTCTCTCGTTATCACATCTTTGCCTCTTATCTGCTATATCCCCACAGTGACAGTGTGCGTGGGGTTGGTGGGGTGGAGTGGGGAATACTCGCCCTTTCTTATGTTCCTTTGGCGCTATTTGAGAGTGAAGCTTACAACAGAAGGAGTGATGGCCAAGGCTCCCCAGATGACACTGAGGTCAATCACTGCTGACAGTTAATACCTAGTTAAAACCTGGTCTCCAAGCCGGATAGCCTTCCAGTCGGCTGGTGTCTGAACAAACACAGCAGGCACTTAAAGGTCACGGGGTTGCATGAGGTCAGCAGGGCCCGACCTTCTGAAAGGTGTGGTCATCTCCCCTCCACGCTGAGAACGTTTTTAAACGACTCCAGAAGCTACAGCTCCTCTTCCCCAAGGCACTGCCAGGGCCTGCAGCCAGGCCCTGCCGTTTCTGAGTGGCGTGGTCCAGGCCGGGCTTTCTGCTCTCCCTGCTGGAGGCCCGCCATCCTTATTGAGTGTATTTCCAAGAAAGCAGTTGACAGGCTTGGCAGTGCTATTCCTGGAAATGTTCAATAGGCCATCTTCTGGCAGGGGCCGCTGCTGACGGACGGGTCGGAAGGGGAGACCACGTGCTCAGCGCCATCTCCACCCTGGCCTATTCCCAGGTGCCTCCGAGCAACAGCCGTCCCCAAATACCACGGGCTGTCAGCTGTGGGGGGTGCTGCGGGCCTCTGCGGGCCTCGCTTCCTCCCTGGCAGGGCAGCTGCCAGCGAGCTTGCTGCTAAATGAAGACAGGCGTCCTGTGACTATAAATTATAACACACAGCAGCTCCAGCTGATGCACTGCCTGTCCCGCAGGAAACTCCACAGGGGACACTTGCCCGCTGCCAAAGGGCACTCTAGACAGTGGCTTCAGCTCTTGTGGCAGCCTTGGGAGAGAGGCCAAGCCTGTCGCTGGGCAGAGGAGCCCTGGCAACTCCCGGAGGTTGGAACTTCCGTCTGATGTGGGGCGCAGTCCCGACCTTGGCTTTTCTGCCTCTGCACTATTGACCTTTAGGGCCAGATACTTCTTTGTGGGAGTAGTCTGTGCACCGTCGGATGTATAGCAGCATCCTTGGCTTCCGCCTACTGGATGCCAGTAGCACCTGTATCTGTGCCCTCCTCCGCCAGTTGTGTCAACCAAAAATACCTCCAGACATTTCCAAATGTCCCCTGAGAGGTAAAGTTGCCGTTGGTTGAGATCCACTGGTATACAGGAAAGGAGAAGGGGGCCTTTTCAGGGTGATGCCAGAAAGAGACAGACAGAATCGCAGAATTTGGTTTCCATTTGAGCTGTGTGATGCCAGGCAAGTCAGAGAAACCTTGGGCCTCAGTTTTCTTATCTCTAAAATGGAAAGAAACAGAAGGGCAAACGAAGGGAATGGGGAGATCAGTTGAGATAATGCATGGTAGGCACTTTGATAGGTATTAAAGCACCACAGAGAACATCATAGTAGTAGATAACCTGATGCTTGAATCCTTCCCTACCTCAAAGGGTCTGGCTCCCTTTGAAAGGAAAAAATAGCTGAACATTTATAAAATTCCCAAGACTCTTAAAAAAGAAACAAATACTTTAGAAAGCTTTTCTCTTTATTATTATTTTTTCTTCTGAATTAAAACAAGGTTAAGTATGCTATGACTGCCTGAGGTTAATGAACATGATTTTTTCTTATTTTCCTTGAAAGAGGTTTTGTATCTTTTCTTTTTTTTACCAACACCCTAGAAATTGCACCCCTCCAGTGAAAGAACAGAAAGTAAGAATGGGAGGGTCCTTCTATTTTCTTCATAAAATTAGTACCTTTTTCTTTATAATTTATAACAAAACCAATAAATGAAACCCCACAGCCCTATAGAAAGACACTGTTGCTTTAAATGAGCTTTGCTGTTATATAATTCTCTGGCTGACTTCACCCAGCCAGCTTTCAAGGAACTGTAAAGAAATCTTTAAACACTAATATTTCTCTTATTCACACTGGCAGGAAAACACAAAGGAAATGGACAACATGAACTACCTCAATGGTAAAAAGCGAAGAGCCAAGTCCTTGACAACAGGGCTACATATGCCACCCCTACTCCCTTGCACCGGCCCTAGTCTTGGGGTCCTTGTCAAGCTCCAGGCAGCCATGGCCCTTCCTTTGTGGCTGTTGCCCATTGGAAGATCCAAGGCCACACGTGCTTTGGGAAACAAGATACTGTAATTAATCAAAGAAAACAGAAACAGCTTCTTTTCCATAATGGGCCCATCGAAGGGCTTTTCTAGGAAAACCCCGATCAAGCTGTTCCTTCTATTTACCTAAAGGCTAACAGCCAAGGGACAGGGTTGGAGGGGTGTGTGAGGACGTATCCATGGAAGTTTATTCCCAAATAGTCCCTTCCCAGAAAAAGACTTCATTGTGCTAACTCAAACCGCTGAGCATCAGCTAACAGCAGGGGCCCCATGGAAGAAATCAAGTCTCCTCTTTCTGAGGCATCACTGATCCTGTATCGACCCAAGAACTCACCTTCTTCTACAGAATTATTCTGATCAGAGAGGATTCCCAGAGGGGACCTGGGAAGTGAGACTCTGAACCAAACTAATGAGGAAGTGTCAGAAAAGGCAGCCAAGCAGCACTGTTGTAAAAACAACTCTTACCACATGCTTACCTTGTTAGAAGTAAACACAGTGTAATTCTGGCACAGTGGTTCCCCCTTACCCGGGAGGGATACATTTCAAGACCCCCCAGGGGATGCCTGAAACCTCGGATAATACTATATTTATATACTATAGATAATATGCTTTTTCCTACACGTAAATACCTGTAAGAAAGTTTTGTTTTTAAATTAGGCACAGGAAGAGAATATCCCAATTGCCAGCATCACTACCCTTGTGCTTTGGGGCCATTATTAAGTAAAAGAAAAGTTACTTGAACACAAGCACTGTGATACTATGACAATTGATCTGATAACCAAGACACTTACTAAGTGACTAACAGGTGGGATGCGCTGGACAAAGGGATGATTCTCGTCCCAGGCAGGATGGAGCTGGAAGATGCAAGATTTCACCACGTGACTCAAAATGGCATGCAATTTAAAGCTTATGAGTTGTTTATTTCTGGGATTTTGCATTTAACATGTTCAGACTGAGGTTGTCTGTGGGTAACTGAAACCATGAAAAGCAAAAGCATGGATAAGGGAGGGGTTACTGTGCTAGGTAAAGACAGGTAGGGTTGGGACTAGGGTGAGGAGGGTGAGGCATCACCTCTGGTGCAAAATTTAAAGATACCAAATAAACCCAGCCATCAAATAAATAATATAAATAACATTTTAATGCAATATTAAAAAAATCAAAATTAATGTCAAAACTTCATGATGAACAAAATATCAAAATTTAAAGACAGGATCTGGTTTCACAAGTATTGTGTGTTCCTGGTGACCAGCACTTGACTTTGAATGGACTCATAGGTCTCGGTGAAGCAGGGTAACCAAAGGAGCCAGGATTCAGAGTCAGAGACAGAAGATCAGCCTATGGCTATGTGGCTTTCAGCATATTCCCAGCCTCTCTGAGTTCTGGTTCTCATTTGTAGAGTGGGCTTAATATTGGCCTCACCTGCCTCACAGGGGTTGTTAGGACCAAATAAGGTCTTGTTCACGAGAGCATTTGATAAACTGTTTATCTTTGAAAAGATAAACAAAGTAACCTAAGGCATCCTTGAAATGGATAACAGAAAGTATAATAATAATACTGGTAATTGTAGTAGAAAGTGATATGGGACATACTTGGGGAGGGAAGGAGAGAAAAGGCAGGAGAGAAGAAAAGGGTGGAGAGGTAGGGTAGGCTGTGTGCTGGGAAGTGGGAGGAGCCCTGATTCCAGATTCTGACCTGAATTCAAGTCTCTGCTCAGCTATTTACAATTTGCAGAGCTTCGGCCCATTTTCCAGCCTCTCTGAGCCTCAATTTTCTCATTCTTAAAATGGGGACAATAATGGATTGACCATGTGAAATAATGTGTGCACAGCACCCAGTATGGTCTGGTACAAACTAGGTGTTAACCCCTTTCACCACACACACACACACACACACACACCTCCCTGCGTGCTTACACCCACACCCCAGAGTGAAGAGTAAAGAAAGGGTAAGAAGGAGAGAAACAGGAGAGGAAGGAAGAATATAAGCCAAGATTGGAGGAGGTAAGAGAATAGAATAGAGAGGGGGAAAAGAGAGAGGAAAGGAAGGAGGAAGGAAAGGAAGAGAAGAAAGTGGGGACACTCAGTAGATACAGATGATTTTACTACTTTTTTTCCTTTAACCTTCCTACTAGCTTTATAAGTGATTGATCAGTAGATTGCTTGCTGTCCTAAGCTGAGAGCTCTCATAGGCAAGTCAGTTCAAGTTTCCTAGGAAACACCCATGGAAAGAATCAAGCTCAACAACATATTTAAGATTTACCTGTGATGACACACATACCTCTGATTCTTTTGTTTTACCTGATGTAGAATATTTTAGAACATACCTCCATTTACATATCCATTCTCTCAAGGGTAGACATTTAAGTTGTTTAAGGGCGCTTCGATTGTAACAGTAATACTTCATTTCTTAAGTTGGGTGGAAGGTATGGAGAAGTTCAATATACTAGTTTCTTGTTTTCTATGTCTGAAACAGTTGAGCTCATCTAGAACTCCTACTGATTTGGTCAAACTTCCAGGCTTTGCTCTTCAGTTCAAGACAGGTGGGATTTCTGGGGGTGGATGAAGCACATTCACATGAAGGGTCTAAGTAGAGTGGGCATATTGCCAGAGTCTGCCCAGCAGCCACACTGCCACACAGGGGGACCATGCGCCTAGTGGCTCTGCCTGTCCAGGGGAGTGAAGGTCAAGCCACACTGACTGAGATGCAGCTAGAAGGCCTGCAGCTTCCCAGACAGACACCGCTACCTGAGATCTTTCCCTGCCTGGAAGCCCAAGGCCAGGCCCCACAGGCAGTTCCAGACCCAGTGCTGGAACTCTGTGGAAGCCTTGGATGAGAGATGCTGAAGGGAAAACAGTTTTCTCCACTAACATCTGAGCTCCTCTGAATCAAATCTCTGTACCTTTCATAATGGAACAAAGGGGGAAAATGTTTGTAAGCATGGGGGGCTGACAGTCACAACTGATCCCCTACAAGTCAGTCTGTGCATTTCCTTCCTAAGGAACTGGAGACATAAGAAGTGCCAGGAATCCAAAAGAATAAATCTTCTGGAAACTGTTCCTGTTTGCCTTTGGAATGTCTTGATCCTTCAGTAGATTTGTTTCTTAGAGGCTGTTTGCTTTGGCTACAATCAAAATTGGTCTGCATTCCCCAGCATCCACCTGCTCTGTGGGGTGATTGTCTTCCCTCAAGCAGCTATGAGGGCTGAGTACCTGCCTCCAACAGACAGCCTGTTACATGGACAATCCACTAAATCATGACTTGGGGCTGGGATCTAGGGCAGGGACTAGGGTGAGGCAAGTGAGTTGTTCACCTTGGACACAAAGGTTAAGAAGACATCCAAAAACTCAGAAATTGAGATAAGTAATATTTTAATGAAACATTTAAAAAAATCAAAATTAATGCAAAAAAATCCATGATGAACAAAATATCAATATTTCAAATAAAGATGGGGTCTATGCAGAATTAAAGGAGCAGTAAAGAGTTTTACAGACAAGCAAAAGCTAAAAGAGTTCACCACCACTAAACCAGCCTTATAAGAAATGTTAAATGGAGTTCATTAAGTAGAAAAGAAAAGGCCACAATCGTCTTAGAAATAAGACAATTATGAAAGAAAATATCTCACTGGTAAAAGCAAACAATCTACTGATCAATCACTTATAAAGCTAGTAGGACGGTTAAAGGAAAAAAAGTAGTAAAATCATCTATATCTATAATAAGTGAAGAAAGACACAAAATTAAAACATGTAAAATGTCAAAAACATAAAATGTGGTGAGGGGTTAAAAGTTAAAATTATATGGCTGTTATAATGTGTTCAAGCTTAAGAGATTGTCAACTTAAAAAATATATATATATACACACATACATACACACACACACACACACACACCCCTATCTCTTAGTAACCACAAACCAAAAACCTATAATAGATACACAAAAAGTAAAGAGAAAGGAGTCAAAACATAACACTAAAGACAGTCATCAAACCACAAAGGAAGAGAGCAAGAGAAGAAAGAAACAAAGAAGAACTAAAAAACAATCAGAAAACAAAATGGCAATAAGTACCAACCTATCAATAATTACTTTAAATGTAAATGGACTAAATGCTCCAATTAAAAGACATAGAGTAGCTGAATGGTTTAAAAAAAACAAACCCAAGATCCATATATATGCTGCTTAC